TTCACCCTAGCAGACTTGCTCTCTTCAACCATTGACCAAAGCTTCAGCAATGCATTCTCCATTTTTGGGGGCCACTGCTCATCAATCCACTGAACAAACCCACAATTTTGACCTTTCTGGAAAAATAACAAGGCAAAATTTAGTACAATACAACTACTATGAGTAGTAAGCAACAGTTAGCTCATGCTAAGTAAGAGGGTGATCAGTATATAATTAGCAGAGTAACACTCCATTCAACTTTGCATAATAACCAACTTACAATTGGCCATTAATATAATGGAATCCTACAATCTGCACTACCACTCTAGCAGTGAACTACTTTGCCATATATCACTAACAAATGGAACATAGAAATCACTGAATGAAGAGTTATCAAACCAGACTACATTAGCCTAGCTAAATATACTACATTAGCCTACAGGAACAAACTAGCTAATGACAGTACCTACTGTCAGCAGTAAGCAACAATTACTTATTAAGAGTCACACATCAGCTAATGAAGGGGCTAATGTGAGTACTAAGCAACATTGCATACAAGCATAAATAAATAGCATGTGCACACAATAGGGCATTCATGTGCACACAACAGAGCATGCTTGAGCCTATATTTAGCCTAAATGCACTCCACTGACCATAATATTCACCATTCCTACAATGAGAACTACAGTATGGCATATATGACTAACAAAATTACTATACACATAACTGAATCACAATTGGCAAACAAGACTCTATCACTTCCAATGAACATATCCTGTGCATAATCAATAAGGCAAGAAAAATACCGGCTCTGCACATGCTAAGAACCTTCTCCCAGTCATTATTCCTTCAAATGCAACAAGCCTCTCTGATGGCTTCCCATGCTTCTTGCACAACACTATCAGATCTAGCTCAAGACCCTTGTAATCCGGGTCCTCAAGAGAGAAAGGCACCTGCCCAAGCAAAATCCAAGTTAGCATCATGTGCAGAGGACGAGGACAAAGCAAATCAAACGAAATCCTCACACCAAAGACCACCTACACAGAAAAATCCCCAAAATTTCCTAAACATAGCCCTAACCCTAGCTCCAATGGAGTAACTGACCTGGTTGAGCCCATCGGTGGAGGCTTGAGTTGTCGTCGCTGCTCTCGTCTTCAAAATCCATGGCTGCGGCAACTTCGTGTGGCGGCCAGCGGGGGCGGGCGCAGGCGGCGGCGAGGCAGAGAGAAGGAAGAAGAACGCAGAGCAGAGCGGGGGGAGTGAGCGGGGTGTGGCTCGACCGCACCAGCCGCGCCCTAAACGGCTCGACCCGGGCTCGTCCGAGTCAGCGCGCGGGCACGCGCGCACTGGCCGGCGTGGGGCCCAACCGGTCAGCTTTTCTGTCAATACGTATAAAACGCACTTTTAGTCTTTTTTGCAACGGCTCGCCCCAATCTTGGTACTGACACGTAAAAATTACCAATCTTGGTACCAATCTGTTTCCAATGGCTTAATTATGGTACTTCTATGTAATTTACTCTGTAAACAGACTTTGTAGAAAATGATCATTTGGAATCCCAGAACCACTGATGTGCAGCCGGGCGGACGCTGCCGTGGCCGGCGGCCATGTGCGTCGGCGTCTAGCGTTAGTTTCTGCCACACGCAGTTCGAGTGCGCAGAGAGATCGATGGTACGAGGGGTTTTTTTTTTGCTGCGGGATTGTTACGAGTTTGATTGAGACAAAATATGAGGTCTCCAATTGTAACCCAACTCTTGCACGTACACGCACCTCCATAATATTTTTTTTTGTATATATACAAGGCGGTCGCTGGCTCCTGCAATATAAGTTGATCTGCTTGGGGGGACAGATCGGCCTCAACAATCAATCAAGCATGGAGAAAGAATTGACCCATGTTCACTGGGGAGAGGTTTTCTGGTTTAGCTGGTTTTCCTTCGTGATTGGAGTTGGTACGGTTCCCCCCCTTCTCCTTCGCAGCATCTTTTTTGCATCTGTAAATAATCATCAATATGGTTCCAGGTTTCTGTGTTTTTCGCTTTACAAGCTTTGAAATCGAACAGGTGCAGGCGTGCTCCTGCTCGCCCTCATCAACGCGTTCAGGAGTTCTTACTGGGACGTCTACTCCCTCGAGCTCACCAGCATCGACGGCCGCGGCCAGCCGGCGGGGCTCAGCGCCCTGGCGTTCAACGTGACCCTGCACGTGGAGAACAGGCGGCCGAAGTGGGTGGACAACAGCTTCAGCGATGGGAAGGTGGTGGTGTCCTACGCGGGCGTCGCTGTAGCGGAGGGCCGTGTGCCGGGCTTCAGGGTCGGAGCGAAGAGCGCGGCGGAGGTGGAGGCGGTGGCGCTGGGCGGCAAAGCTGCAGGCGTGGCGGACGCCGTGAGGAGGCGCGTGGAGGCGGAGCTGCGCTGGGACTCCGCGGAGTTCGAGGTGGAGGCCAAGCTGTTCCGCAGCGGCGTCGGACAGCAAGGTGGCCCCGTCGTGCTGTGGCGCAAGGTTGCATCGCGGGTGCTGCATCAGCCGTCACGGTGCAGGGCCTTCACCGACTTCATGACTAGGGCTGACGAGGAGTTTTGACTTGTCTGTACGTGCGTGCAGCACGAATTCACAGCTTATGCGTCTGGGCTGTTTTTTTTCATATTTTTCTTTGAGAAAAGTATGTTCTTGTCCCTCAAGTTTCTAAAAGTATAAACTTGGTTCCTTAAGATTTTTAGGTATATATTTAGTCCTTCAAGTGTCAAAACCGGATAAGTTTAACTCAAAACCAGAGTTTGGTCACTTACCAGGGTTTGACCACATTGACCAGGTTTGATCATGAATAGTAAATCTAAAAAAAAGCAAAAAAATAAAAAATCTGAAATTTTGTGACAGCATGCTTGGGCGCGCTTGGTGCGTGTAAATTGTTGGGGTCAAATAACATCCGAGGAACTCTAGCAAAAAAAAAGACAAAATTTACCTTTTTTTTTAGCTAAAATTAGTTTTTGTTTTTGCCACGAGCTCCTCGGATGTTGAAACACCACACAAATTTTCATGCACCCAAGCATCTTGGTTGCCACAAAATTTTGGAGTTTTTTTTTTAAATTGAATTTACGGTTCATCAATCAAACCCGGCCAATGTGCTTAAAATCTGGTTTTGGACCAAACTTATCCGGTTTTGAGACTTGAAGGACCAAATGTATATCAAAAAATCTTCAGGAACCAAGTCTATACTTTTGGAAAACTTGGGGGGTCAAAAACATACTTTTCTCTTTTTCTTTAGGGGTACATGGGGTGCTTTATTTAGATAAAACAGCTCCAACATCTGCTACGAGGCTTGTTACAAGAAAACTACTCTCTTTGTCCCATAACATAAGACATTTTTCGACAATAAGACATTTTTTGACAATACACTAGAGTCAAAAGCATCTTACATTAGTCAAAAAACATCTAAAATTAACGTCTTACTATATGACAGATGGGGCCCGCCGCAGGTTGATGTGGCACCACTTAACGTCTCAGATTTAACGGCGACGTTTGGTAATGTGTGGCCCTACTGGGTCCACCTGTCATTGGAAGGAGAAAAGGAAAAAAAAATTGGTTTCAGCCTGACTGGCAGGCCCCATCTATAATAAATACGCTTAACCGAGCTAAAGGTCCCGGTCAATGTTATTTGCAAAAATATTACCGTAGACATAATGTTTTCTGCCCAAAAGAAAATGTAAACTTGTGTTTTCTAGTAATCTAGCCTTCAATGTGATGGTTTTGTACAATTTACTCCCACATCAAACAAGTGGCCCAAAAAGCGGTGGAAAGGGGATAAGCCGTCAGGAGAGGGGCCACCGGTCCACTCAATGACGCGCCTCAGGTATACGTGGACATAAGTCGGGTCGGGCCTTATAAAGCCCGTAGCAAAAAACATAGGCTCGGGCCCGGCCGCCAGGCCTAGATTTCAAGCCCATGCCTGGCCCATCGGTAGAAAAGCCCGTCGGGCCTCGGTCCAGGCCTCTTCCCTAAAACGCAAATATGCCAAGCCCAAGCCCAAGCCTAGCCCGGCCTTCAGGCTCAAAACTTAGGCCTAGGTCGGGCTTTTTCGGGTCGGGTTTTCCATGGCCAAGTATAGCCTCAGGTAGGAGGTGACCAGCGAAAGCTGTGGCTGGTCGCCCGTCTGAAACCATTACCCATTCCGTATTGGTTTCCATGCACTTCTTTCACAGGACCTTTTTAAGTTGGATTTTTCCTTCTGAAATGCACTTTGTAGGCAGGTGTATTATCAACTCTCCCTGTAGTGATTTGCAGCGAAGAATGTAAACTAATGTAAACGTTTTAGATCACTACTTTATTATCACATATGGCTGAGCATTTGACCTACATGTTATTGATTTCAGATTTGAGATTAAGTTCCCGTCCAAAAGGAAATAGACAACTGAAACTTACGGGGCATCTCCGACATTTGACACTTTGAGCCTTCAGATCACGCTCTAGACAACCTCGATTGCACGGGATCGTTTCACGGTGGCGCCACGCAATGTCATCCTCGGCAAGGGGCAATTTTGTATTTTCGCTAGATGCCACCCACTCACAGCACTCTCTCAATCCCATTTTTCTTCTCCTTTCCGATCCCCTCCGCCGCCACCAACAGGCGCGGCTCCGTCTCGCCTCACTCTACTAATTCTCCCTTTCCTCTCCAGTCTCCATCTGCAAAACCATGCAGGATGTGCGCTACTCCTCTACCAGCCTGTAACGTCAACAAAAAATTAGCATGCACACTCTCCTCCAGTGGAATACAAACAAGAGTTGGCTCCGGACTGCAATTCGTGGGACAAAAATACCATGATTTGTCCATCATCTCCTCCTAGAATAGCAAAGACACTACTATGAGATTCCGGCGAACAAAATTTCTATTACTGTATTACAATAGCACTACTCTGAGATTCAGGAACAGAGATGGTCTGTTTATTTGACACAAGATTAAGCCTTCAGATTCATAATGCAAACTGCATATGCAGGGGTTGGGCAAATCTGGGGCCGGTCGAGACAGCTGCTTTATTCTTTCAGTGATGATGGCTGTCCAGAAGAAAGCCTATCCGACCTTGCCTTGTTAGCTCGCTCCACGTAATCTTGATGAGAGTCATGCTTTGCCCCTGCAATTGATGAGATATATTGCAATCAAGTAAGTTGTCGAGTACCAAAAGGAGTAAATGAAAAATGTACTAGCATCCTGGTTGGTCTATATAACTACAAAAAATGCTTTGAAGCAGGCAGAATAATGATCTGATGGCCAAAGCATCATTCGGAAGATCAAGTTGGATTGTAAATCATACTCCCACCTGATGTTTTAGTGGTGATGAATGCAGAAAATCAACCTAAAAATATAGAGGCATGTGTGCCATGATGCTATGAATTCAAAGCTATACCAATATCACGGGACAGGTAAGCATCAAATAGCTATAGTATCCACTGAAGGCTTTTAATTCCCCTGTTTACACCTAACACCGTGTAAACACAGTACACACAAGTTCATCGCCATGATGGTAAACTTCATTCAGTAATAACTATAAAAATGACCAGTTGCAGTGAGTACATGGAAATCAAACCTATAACAGGTTTTCCTATTTAAACATTGATCGTGCCTTCAGAATGCGCTAGAAACTAAGCAATTGTCAGAAACTGAAAACATAAAAGAAGTCACACACATATAGACCTGGATCAAAATTGATGAAATTGGGGACAGTTTATCATCCTCAATGGAGACTTTATTCGCTATATTCGTACCTACTCCCTCCGCCCCACAATATAAGCTCACGCCACAGATGCCCCCTCCCCAAAAAAAAAAATATGTTTGAGACCAGGCTAAGGAATGTAGTCTTAAAGTATTTACCAAGACAAAGAAAACAATATATGCAATAATGGCAACCAGAAAGCAAAGCATGTAACTCACTTCTTATATTGTTCCAACATATACTAATACTCAAAATATGGCACCAATAGTGCACCGTCACTGTGCCTACCACCTAAATATACAAGGGCTGAGCCTGTCAAACAAATAAGTCGGACATAATGCACTACATGTTCTAAAAAATAATCCACACATGTAAACATCTTTGCGCTTTCCACCATAATCCTACCAGACACAGAGCAACAATAGCACATTCAAATCCAATAGAAACATACCCGATCTACAACAATAATCCAATCTAGACTATAGCATATCCAATCTTACTCAGACTAGACTATTTAAAGGAAACAGAATAATCCTATCTACGTTTCAGCACCTTCCAACCCTACAAGAGATTCAAACTAGAGTTGTTTGAACACTTGATAGTGTTATGCGTTGTTCCAACCAGAAAACACTGCGTTGTGCTGCACCAGAAGTGATCAAAATTGTAAACTAGACCCCCTTTTTTTGCAATGAATAGGGCATGAATTGCCTATCAGGTGCATGTACACTACACACCATGGCACTTGTGGAAATCAAGGTAGATGATAAAGAACGTAGGGATGATTTTGGTGAAGACAGCAATGCTATTTTTTCTTGTCATTGGTCCTGTGCCATGTGAATGTGAAGCTTGTGTCACTAAACCCTTGATATAATGTGCCAAATAACATGGTTCATAAGAGATGGAGAGTTGATAATACTATAACGCTATATTGGTAAAACCTGCTATAAGCTTTGTGCTTACCTATGCGTCATTGCTTTTAAGGTGTCCTGCCTTAGACGCTTAGGCGCCCTGGCAGCGCTTACAAATATGCCCGCCTTAGGTGCTTAGGCGTCATCTAGGCGCTAGAGCGGGTGGTGCTCACCTTAGGTCACCTTACCACCTTATAAACAATGCTATGCACATATGATTTAATGGTAAAGCTATACGTTTATGGCATACCATATAATTTACAAGGAAAAACAGACCTGATTGCTCAATCATCTGTACACAGAATGCCTGTGGCCACATATTAAAGGAAGTTGTGGATTTCAATACAAGGTTATGAAAACCAAGGCGCAACGGCAAATCGAGCAAGGTGTCTAATGTACACACCTATATACTCCCTCCGTCCGAAAAAGCTTGTCCCAAGCTTGTGTCACAAATGGATGTATCTAGCACTAACTTGATGCTAGATACATCCATTTGAGGGACAAACTTTTCCGGACGGAGGGAGTATTTTGTAGTACTGCGTAATTTTACAACAATGCATACTCTACTTGATTGATAACCAAATGTGTGAAAATGACAAAGATGAGCCCACAAAACTAATTTTCTGTTTCATGGTTGAAGTGCAAGCCTGAGGAAATATCCCCAAGTACATACTTACCTCCATTAAATAGACAACATCTTACAGTGTATGCAGTCACACTTCCCTAAATTTTCTCATAATAATTTTAAAGAATCATATTCATGTGAAAAATCTCAGTCAGAGTTGTATATGGCAGATTGTAACCATTTCCAAACCATCATCTATTTACGAACAGGCGGAGTATGTTTTCTCTATGTCAAACTGTCTCGGTGTCTCCTCATGCTAAATAAATCCTCAGATGTTATGACTGATTGAACTACAGTGCAAAAATGATATGTGTTATCATCCAACAGGAAGGCATATGCATATAGGACCGACCTCCAGTAACAGCAGTTTCCTACTCCCTCCGTTCACAAATGTAAGATGTTTTGGATATTTCAATATGGACTACATATGGACTAAAATGTGTCTATATACAACTGATTCGCAAAAAAGTTAGTAGAACATCTTATATTTGTGAACGGAGGGAGTACTTTTGTTTTTCTAAACTGACAGCTGAAAATGGCATGTAGAGGAATGAAAACGCTGTCCCTAAGAGGGACAAAGAACTGGAGGCATTAAAAATGTTTATCCCAAGAAGGTTTGTAGTTGCAGAAAATCAGTCTTAGGATTAAATGATTCCATCCAGATTTCACTGCAACATAATCAGATGGCCCCAATCTTGAGCATGCGAAGGCCGAAGAGAACTCAAAATCAACGAGAACATCACTAGCTTTGACTATCGCCGCAAAACGAATATTTTATAACATTTCCCCTCACTATCAGAGTTCCAATCCATCCAAGAAGCACAAAGGAGATAGCATCAGCACCACGAATTACGAAGCCTGAAACTACCAAACCCTAGTTCCCCTCATCGAGAGCTGCACAACAGATAGGAACGCGGAATAGGACCCGCCTAGGTGAATCCGCCGACTCTTCCAAATTGCATACAGATCATCACGGTAACAAGAGGAGGTGGGAGACTAAGGATTGGGGTTTTCTGTGTGTAGGAAGGGATTCGATACCTCGGGTCATGAAGTACCAGGGCACCCCGAAAATGGCGGCGAAGATGGCGATGCCTGCGACTACGTGCTTCTTCTCGCCGCTGTACAGGTAGTGGTCTATCCGGGCGCGGAACCCCCCGCCGCTGGAACTGGCGCCCTCGCCTCCCATCACCGCCGCCGCCGCCGCCGCCTGTGTGCTGTGGCGTGGGAAGTTGGTGCGTGCGTGCGTGCGTGCGACTGCGAGTGGACGAAGGATTCTCTAACTTGGCAGAGCCAAGTCACACTATCTGCCATCCAAACTGCATCTAAGGGCTCTCATCCATCCACTGATTTCCAGCAAGGATGTGTTTTTTTTAGGGATCCAGTGAAAATGTGCGAGACTCGGCCCAAGTACAGCTGACTTGTTGGCCCATGAACGCAAAATATTGACCCAAGTCAGACCGATCCACCCAGTCCCAGACCTCTAATCGGCCGGCCCAGACCCAAGCTAGAGGCAACTCCACGTATATTGCGGAACACAACGGCTCGTCTCCATAGCATACCACGCCCACGCGCCGCGCGCATTCGGGTCTGCCTCGCCGCCGCGCCGCGCAGACGACCCGCCTTCCTCAGCGGCGGAGACGACCCGCCTTCCTCAGCCGCGGAGACGACCCGCCGGCCGCCCCCGCCTTCCTCAGCCGCGGACACGACCCGCTGACCGCCCCCGACACGGACCCTCACCCTCGCCGCGCCGAGCGCCGCCTGCTCTGGCAGGTACTTGCTCTTCCGTTCTCTCCGTTTTGTCTGGGGAAACCTACCGATGGAACGTTCGGTTCGACCCGACGGCGCCGCTGCCGGCGGCGGCAGATCATCGAGGTTGTGCTCGTGGAGAGAATCCGAGCGGCGCGGAAGCAGGGGAGGGGGGAGGGGGGTGCGCAGCAGAAGGAGGCGGTGGTGGGCGTGGGTGGGTAAGAGGAGCGGGGGAGGAACCAGGAGGTGCGGAGGCGTCAAGCCCTAGTGCATTCGTTTTCTTGGAGCAGAAGGGAGGCGGTGGTGGGCGAGAGGACGCGGTGGTCGTCGGTGGGGAATAGGAGCGGGGGAGGAAGAAGAAGCAGGAGCCAGGAGGTGCGGGGGCGTCAGGCCCTAGTGCACTACTTTTAGTTTTTACACGAAATGGACCTCCACGGATGCTCATTATAGATAGAATAAATTGCCTAATTTAGTGACTAAATACTTGCAACTTTTACATGTTTCTGCACTTTCTTTAACAAAACCTGCTGTGATGTACTTACCGCAGTCAGGGAGTGCTTTAGCTGCAACCAAGTTCATGCCCATGTTGCTTACGAAGTGCAGCGGGTTTCCCCTGATCCCTGTGATCTTAGTCTATGCCGTGAACAGTGCTCAGACTACTTAAGAGTAGTCATTAGTCAATAGTCAGTTCTTCAGTTCTGATGCAGCTAGTAATAAATTTCTCTTTCTCACAGAGTTGCATTAGGACATTGTAGATATTGTGTGTTTGCATGAAGTGAAGCTATAACCTGAACTAGTGTATTCTATCCGAGATGTTCAAGAATTCCATTTCTCAAGCTGCTTATTTTCAGAGTTACAGTTTAACTTGCGGTATGTGTTCTGGAAATCAGTAAGGTTTAGAATTGCTGTCTGAACTATGTGTATCTACTCCCCGCATATATTATACTTGTGCAGCGTGTTACTCCATGATGGTACAACTGAGTCAAAGACACGCATCCCAATAGGACATGTAAAACAAATAATCCCTCTGTTCACAAATATAAGATGTTCTAACTTTTTTCTGAATCGGATGTATGTAGACACGTTTTAGTGTGTTTGTTCACTTATGTAGTCCATATTGAAATATCCATAACATCTTATAGTTGTGAACGGAGGAAGTAGTAATTAAGACTACTCTACAGTGATGGTTGCTGCTTTGTATTGGAGCTACTACTGTGTGTTGCTTTGTACTACCTCCGTTCCTAAATATTTGTCTTTCTAGATTTCAACAAGTGACTACATACGGAGCAAAATGAGTGAATCTACACTCTAAAATATGTCTATATACATCCATATGTGCTATTCCATTTAAAATCCCTAAAAAGACAAATATTTAGGAACGGAGGGAGTATATATTATTGTTTTAAGAATTTGCCTTGTTGCTTATGGATACTCTCTTTTGTGCCAGCGTCCCTGCAATAGAAGGAATATAATATACTGGCCTGAGGTTTGAGGTCTGTCTTTTAGCTCAATACAAGACTAATTGTATTTCGTCTGTTGTTGTCAGCATTTGGTCTGTTACTCATGGTTTGCTTTTCATTGTTAGTGTTGTTGGTCACAAAACGCTTGAGACATCTGCGCTCTATCCCAGATCTATTTCCTCCTGCTGCTCTTGATAAGCACGCAAGGAGTCCTTTCATCTCAGATCGTTTGGACAGCACTACTCGATCATAATTTACAACCTTAGGTTTGGGGTATGCAAAATTTGATCATTATCTTTTATTCTTATACTATATTCTTTTATTGACTTTTGTGTTTTTTACTGTGAAGGCTGGAATGCTATCGAATATTTTAAGCTCGGTTATTTGAACCAAGATCAGTATACAATGAGAATGGAACTCTTGTTGTCGCAATTTTTGATATATCGAAAATGCCATCAAGAATATTTGTTGTCAAAGTGTTTTCACGACTTATTCAAAGACAACAAGAATGGAACTCGGGATGTCAGTTCAAATGTCAAATTCTCAAAACTTTTGGAAGGCAACTTGTGGAACTTTAGGTCATGAGGATGGAAAACTTATGTGCGCTTATCATTTCATCAACTTTCTAGTTCCTGTTTTGAAAGTTGATAAACAAATCACATCTCCATGAGACTTTGAATCGTAAAAGAGAATGGAACTTGGATTGCCACTTTAACTATCGAATTCCTGGATATTTTTGAAAGGCAACTTGTGGAAGGAATTAGAGCTTTAGATCACGAAGATGGAAAACCTTTATCGACACTTTTCATTCTGCAACTTTCCAGGTTTTTTTTGTTCTATGTTCATAGCAAACCCAGTCTCCAAAAGGAGCTTGAATTGTAAATGAGAACAGAGTATTGTGCTTGTAATTTATTTCTTCTTCAGATTTCACTTTCTCGTGTAATTGTACTTTGCTTATTATATGAATCAATAAAGATACTCTCTGCAATTTCTACTTTTGAGTATATTTCTTATTGGATTCGTGCAAATTGTATGTTTGATATAATAGCATGTTACTGTACACGTGTTTGTTTTCAAATTGGATCTTGTTGGTAAGGTTTCAAACTTGTCCATTTTGTTTGCCCATCAGAATTTAAGAAATCCCCTAAAAGAATCAGACTCAAAGGAAAAAAAAAAGGCTCACTGTAGACTTTTTTTAAGGAAAAAAAAAACTACATACCTTTTATTTTAGTTCCTAAAGATCTGTTTTCTGTCCCACTTAATATGACCAGACTTCGAATTTCGTACTTTGGCTTACCAATTGAGTTCCTTGTGGTTGTTTAAGCCTTTAAGGGGCTTGATGATGTAATTCTGATACTCACATCTTTGTGGTATTATGGATTTTGTGTTTTTTTTGTCAGCGTTGATTGGGCCCACAGAAGACTTTTTCACTTTTAGCAAGCACTATGATATATGAGATGAGATTTACGCTGTCTGGTATAGAACCTGTTTCTTTCATATAAGAACTGGTAGTTATTATTGTTCTTTGTATCAATCTTGATGGCTATTGACTTTCACTACCTTTGTATCACGTACAGGTTTTGTTTGTGTCTGCTGGCTTCTTGTGTCCCCGGGGTATAATGATTTATTAGTTATATCATACATCTCAACTAGATCTATCAGGATTGATTATTTTCTGGTTAATTACTTGAGTTTCTTTCAATGTGTTGATTGGCAGTTGGAGAGTCTTTAGACTCAGGAGACGTAATGAAGATGGGTCCCGCGTACATGTGAGCGGCTGGCTGATAAGCTGGTTCGCTTTATCTTTGTTGGCGTCCATTGCTTGGATATACTTTTATGCATTTACCTGTGGGAGCAATAGGCCGCCGGATACAGAGAAAGACAATTGCCCATGGCGTGAAGCTGACCTATGCATGAAGATTGTGATAGGAGCTGCCCTTGTTTCCAACATGGTCTGGCTAATATACCTATGCTTCATCGACTTTCAGAAGGTACGTGCATACCATAGCATTGCATAGTTGATTCATTTCATTTAATTGTCAAGTGGTAGTCATTAGACTAGTTCTTCTCTGCAGACCTTGCTTTGCTTCGGGATCAGTGCAATTGTATGCTTATTGGTCTCCAACTTCACATTGGCCGTTGAAGTCTGCTGGAATAGGTTGCGAGTGGCCGGTTGGATGGCTATTTTGTTAGCAGCTGCTGGCAACCTATGCAGGAGGATCTCAATGGTAAGTTAACGTGATGCTAGTAGTTTCAAATTTCCATTCTAAAATATATATGTGCACTTTGCTTCAATAAAAAGTACTTGCTTCACTCCTGACTAATTATAGTCTTAGTAAGTTCCGATTATGGACTATTACTATAATGTTATACAAACACAGCTATAAAATTAGCTAATTAAATAGGGTACATAGTATATGGTCTCTTCTATGCATTCCTTGTACATAACAAGACAGATAAAATTACCATCCTCATTCATCTCCAAAGCATACTTTTTTGAGATGTCGTTTCCACACATATACAGAGTACATCCTAAAGCAATGAGTGAGTGAATTGAAAAGGATAATGTAGTATTGTCCATATATTCCATGGTCGGAGTCATGCTAGAATGACACGTGTTTAGAAACGGAGGCAATATATAGTTTGTGTGATTTACTCGAGATAAAATAAGCAAATTATGTAATGTGTCTCTGGCTCCAATGAACTTTGACAGGGGCAGTGGGTGCCAGAGTTATCCTATTTCGCCTTGACCGTTGCCCTCGCTGCGGTGCTTCCCGAGATATTTTGGATCTTGAATGTTATATGTGTGGAGCAATATACAAAACAAGGCGAAAGATGCGGATTCTGGGCGGTATTCATCGACAAGAATTTTTACTGGAAGGTTAATTTTGTCAGCCACTTTTAGCACTTAATTAGTATCTACTGCAGCAGGACACAGTAAATAGTGCAGTATTGTCTCTTACTCTCGCTTACCATGCAT